TATGCCCGAGCTGTCACCGAAAAGCTTGAATCGATCCGTGTGTGGCGACGACCACATGTGAAAGGGGGGGGGGGGGGGGGGGGGGGTTGTATTTGTACATTGATTGCCAAAAAGACAATTCTTGAGATATGCAAGGCATTTTGTTGTTTGTAGGAAACTTGCGTTAAGGTTCGTTCGATGTGATTGCTTCAAAGGAAACTGAAGTAAAATTTCATTAACGGCTCTTCATATATGTCAGCTTATCGCTAGGTAACGGTTGCACCTTCAAAGCTGAGACGTAATTATTGCGTTACTGTACAAACAGTTCTTACTGCAACGTATTTTTGGGACTAGAAAGGGCTTAGACGAAGAAGGTCGTCGTTTCCGCTTTCTGCCTTCGGCGGCGGATAGTGGGCCTTGTAGAAATACCACTAAGATGTACAAGGCCTGCTCTTGACGTCATCGTTCGTGGACCCCGGACCCACTCCCGAGAGCAAACGCGCCGAAGATCGGGGAGACTACGACGCTCCGGCCTACTTTCGTCGATTGGGCGTCGACGTCCGCTGGCATAGCGTTCATTGTGGGACGCGGGAAAGCGCACCTGCGGTGACGCCGACATGAGCTGGACGGCGCGACGTGAACCACTAGGAATGACGTTCGGTGGGGGGACGCAGGCTGAAGGCAGAGGCTTTGACTTCAAGGTGGCATTGCTTGTAGTCAGCTCATATTTCTCATTTGAGTAATGAGAGGTGTGGTCGACGCCGTGGACTAATTAGTCTTCATTCGCGTGTCTACGACAAACCTCGTTTAATTAATCTTCCTAAAATGGCGAACTTTACGCGTCCTCGGGACTTTCTTGAATCATGCAGAGTTATTGGTCGAGTCCCCGGCAAAATCGTCGTTAGTCACGGGAATAACGTAGCTGGGAGCCGAATAATCACCGTGTTGTTGAGTGGTACGTTTGCCCCGCTCAGATAAATACATAAAGTGCTCATCGGCGCGATGATCAGGAGCTTTTTCGGTCGGCTCGTATTCAGCACGGCCGGTAGCCAGAGAGGGCACACTATCTTTTTCGTGTGGTTCGTTCAATAGACCGATCTTACTAAGCGTTTGGCGCATGCGTGACGCCGCCATGGCTTTAATTCACAGGAGGCAGACGGTAGTACGTGAGAGGACTTGTGCCATCTCGTGCGCTACGCGCGCAGAGCTCCAGCGAGGTTGTCGCGTAAAGTTTCCTCGATGTATTGCGGCAGCGGTTGTGTAGTCAGACTGGCTGGTGAGGTCGATCTAATCCGGCTTCCGATCCCAATGATCGGCTATTTTCGCTTTTGAGAAGTTAGTAAACTCGCGCGTGGGCGTTTTTAAAGCGCCGATAATGATTTCCCAGTCACTTCACTTAACGTCATACCGCATTACGTTCGGGCTGGTGGACTGTTCTATTTTTAGTATCAGTAGACGGAAGCCGCTAAGGCGCACCAACAGGTCAGTAACCGTTGGGTACGTTTTTAGCTTACATACTTCCACGGAAAATAGCTAAGGTTGCGGGTGCACCTCTGTTGCGACATTTAACCTCACGTGCACTTCTGCTGGTGAGGTCACCAGATATATCTGTTAATATTCGTCGTCCCTCGGTTATCATAGAGCGTGTAGAGCAATCCAAATTATTGGTTAATGCCGACTGCTGGGGGTGCTGCATGGCTGTCGTCGCTGTACACTTCGTGTTTTCGTCGTCTTGCATGTCACGGCTTTCCTAGGTGGCCAGATTGAGCCCGGCATCTCATGCACACCGTTTATTCACTTTTGCGCGCACCGTAGATACACTTCTTGCAGACCTTACAGATGGGAACCTGCAATCAGGTTTTGGACGTTCTTGTTATTTTGTGTTGTTCCGTCATTTTGTAGGGCAACCATGTGAACATGCTCGATTATGAGCGATTCGCCTAAATAAGCAACTTCGTGAACCGAGCTCGGAGGTTGCTCGAATGCGTATATAGGGGGCTGAATGATTTGCAATCAACTGTTTCGAATCCTAGTCCCCTTGGAGCCAGGTCGCTAAACGCAAAAAAAAGCGAAGTTTAAATTTAAGAATTGTACCTAAGAAGCATTCGGCCATAGATCTCCTAAAGTTTTCAGGTACACGTCCATTTAGTAGCCTTGGAAAATGTCTTTAGTAAGATCGTTTCAAGTGATTGTATCAAATTCGAGTCAGCCGCTTTCGTAGTGAATGCAACTATCTCCAGCTGACGGCGACGTCTTCTTCTTTTTTTTTTTTACAGTCAGAATATGTTGTAGGTAACGAGATTCATTTTTAACTTAGCCAGTACGTGTGTGTATTAAGCGCTACATATACGCACGATGAAACGTTCCACAAGTTGTAAAACCCCGTCGGACGTTTGATTCTGTATCTGTGCCCCGCCCTTTCAAAACAGTGAAGCATATTTGCCTTTATATATAGTGAAAACAGCGTATCACTTATAAATAAGATGTCAAATTGTGATCACATCTCCTTTCAGTAGAAAAAAGCCAGTGTTATCAAATGCAGTGAATACTCCGCGCATTTCAGTAACATGACCGCGCTGTGCGCGAAGCTGCTTATCTATGCGATTTGTTCAAAAAGATGCATTTCATTCGTATGCTTGCCCTGAATACTTTCTCGCAGGGTACTATGACAAGCTTTTTGTGTTCATTCTTGTCGAGTTTTTTGGAATCTGCCGAACTACTGGCGAGACCTTCTGGAGTCTAGCTTTGGTTTCTGTGCAGAATGGGCACGTTTGCTTTTTCTAAATCAGGAAGTGATCTGATCAATGTTCGTGATAGAAATTTGCTACGACACCACACTGATGTTTTAGCCAACCAGCAAGTGATTGTTGAACAGGAAAACAAGATAAAAACGACTGCGGCAAAGTGAGCACATGGCGTGACCCCAAATTCACTATCTTGTGTTACTGAAGGCAGAAAGTAAAATTAAATACTATAGAGTACAGGGTAAATGCGACAGAGTAAGTAGTAGGACGTAGTATTTGGGGACAGCTTGTTTCATTCAGCGGATGTTCTAGACACAAATGAGTCGCAAGCAGCGGTTTGGCGGTAGAGAGTGCGTATCTTAAACTTCAGATCAAGGCGAAAATAACTTTAATTTAGGAGGGTTGTAGGCTTAGGCATGACTTTAATTGAAAGACAAGTGGTTTAGAGGTTTGTCGCTCTCTTTCTGTAGAGTTTTATCTTATGCAGTCATGACTTTTGAATGTGTGTCAGGACACTTTAACCTAATCTCAGCAACACTTCAGGCATCCGATACAGCTTAAACTTCGAACGCTGAAAACAAGGCACGGTCGCTCCTGGTGATGACGTTCTGCATTAGGTTGAGAACGGCCTGGTGATTAAGGGGATTAAAGTTCAGACGCGCCTGCTGGGACCTCCCTTTACGTTGCGCTGTATACAAGCCTCATGAATACTCGAACATCTTTGGAACTTTTGTCTGCTTTTTTTTACTAAAATTCTCCAGTCTTAAACATGTATATAGCATCATTTGTTTGTCTTAAAATGAAAAAAGACCTGTTTAAAACCTGATATTACGCTGCTGACGCCAGGACGTTTTAGTCTAAGGTACCATTATGAACTACTTTTGCTTTCTTGCCGGTATCTTGACCATTCCGTTATCCTTTTGTATATATATGAGAGGAAAGCAGTTTGTAGTAACCACGGAGTTTGGGCACTTCCCTCATTGAGTTTTGTAACTTTTCGTGCGTCCAGTTCACAGTTTTTCTTCAGTGTAGGCTCAGGTCTTAGTTGTTATATTTATATGAGTCGATTAACATTCAGCTACGGAAAAGAAAAACGCTAGACTCAGGGAACATCATATGACATATACACAAAGGAACGAAGACAGTCGATGTTTTTGTTGAGATTATTTTGCTGTTCCCACCTTTTTTGTTAATGCAGTGAGTCATAACCAGGAGTCTCAAGGAGCCTTAATCGTAAAGTCATAATATGTTTGAACACTTTGAATATGCGTGAGTAAATGCAAGCGTGTAGATGGTAGATGATATAAAAGCATCCGCCCTGTGGTCCCAGGAAGTCGCTCGTTGCCGCAGGATTTTTTATATATTTTATATATGTCTAGATAATTTCATAAAACGCCCGTGTAGCGAATCCCCCATTGCCTTTTTGTTAAAGAGTGAAGTATAACTGCCCTACTCAACAATAACTCCCGTTTTCACTGCCCCAGAAACACCACGTCCTCGTGCGGCTTGACCGTATCCTTTTCGCACCGCCGCTCCGCTTGAAAGGTAGGCCCTTTGCTGTAAATATCGGAGACCCTGTGAGAGAAGCTTCTTAATATGAGCCGGTCCTCGTAAAACCAGCGCAAGAAATAATGTAGTCTTCTTCATTTCAATCACGCACATGGGCAGTCTCTTGAGCAGTCTGGGCTTCACGGATGAGAATGCGTTAAGGGCCACGTCTTTGGACCCGAACACCGGATCATTGGAGCCTGGGTCATTGGAGCGCTCAAGTTCGAGGAGCACTCTGGTCTCTGCAGAATAGAATGCTACAAAGGTCAGGTACTTCAATCCGAAGGCCACGTCTTGGAGCGTACGTCCTTGGTGCATACTAAGCTTAAAGCACCAGACTACTCCAAAGGCCAGGTTTTTAGCTTCGAAGATCACCTTTTAGAGAACAGGTCTCTGGATCACTCTAATTCTTGGAGCCTTGGGGCCTAAAAGAACCAGGGCGCTTCGAAGGCCAGGTCTTTAGCTACAAAGTCCAGGTTTCGAAGCAGAGGTTCTTGAAGCACTCTGGTTCTTGAAACATTGTGCACTGGGTCCTTAGATCCAAAGACTATGTCACTGGAGTCTAGGTCTTTGTAGCAAGCTGGTGCGGAACTCGCCCTTAGTTCGACAGATTCCGGCAGGGGCTCGACTCGAATAGTGAGTATGAGACGTGTTGCGCGATATTCCTGTTTGCGTTGGCATAACGGGGGCTCCGGAACGCGCGACGGCATCCCGGGGTCGGCCGCGCAGACGACGACACTGATCGGTCTGCTGAAGACGGCTCGGCTGCTGCGGTTGGTGCGGGTGGCGCGCAAGATCGACCGCTACTCCGAGTACGGGGCCGCGGTGCTGCTGCTGCTCATGGCCACGTTCGCGCTGATCGCCCACTGGCTCGCCTGCATCTGGTACGCCATCGCCAACGCGGAGCGGCCATACCGGCAACCCAAGATCGGCTGGCTGGACCACCTGGCCAACGCCACGCACCAGTTCTACGTGAACGGCTCTCTGGGCGGCCCCAGCATCAAGTCCAAGTACGTGACGGCGCTCTACTTCACCTTCTCCAGCCTCACCAGCGTGGGCTTCGGAAACGTCTCCCCTAACACCAACATGGAGAAGATTTTCTCCATCCTGGTCATGCTCATCGGATGTGAGTGGAGCAGGGTCGCTTCTTTCTATCCGCCGGGAGGATCGTGACCGTTTTGCTTAACGCCGACGGGACCATGTTTCAGGTCGTGTTCATCGCTCACTTTCGATATATTGTTGTCCAGTCAGTGAGAACCAACCTAACATGGCAAAACTGTAGTTCATAAATCAATGGTCCCGCAAACGCGATTTTACCTCAGCACCTGTTTGAAGGTGCGGGGTAAACTGAAGCTTTAATGTTGCGTAGTATAACTTGAGTAATTTATATAACTTACGCAAACTCCTTTCCTGTAAAACGTGTTTTTGTATTTTGCAAGGACCGCGATTCAATGCCTTAGTCCTGCTTCATTGTCAAAAAACCTTGCTGGTAACTACAGTCGTAGTTCTTCCGAAGTCCTTTCGCAGCTTTATGCATTGCCCCCACTTCATGATCACTGGTATAGAAGGATAAGTAACATGATAAATAAAGAATAGCCTTGCACTTTTGTTATGGTTTTTTTTTTGCAGACAAAAAAGGTGGATGGCCATATGTTTGTTGCGACCTCGAAAAAAAATACACACTGGCGGAAAAATACACAAGATGTAAAAAGAGTTCGAAAAGCGTCTTAACTGGACCCACTATTGCTTCACCTACGCCTTATGACTTATTTTAAATATACTGTCGCCGCCATTTAAAAAACAAACACTGTCGGTTTGTAGCAAACGTTACTAAGGTGAGTAGACTCCACAATGTAGTAGTAACAGTGTACCAGTTTGAGCGCGAGCAGCTCCACTGTCCAGGCTAGAAGAAAGGAGAACCTTGCGACGGTCATGGAGCGTCTGAAGACCTCCGTTAAAACAGATCTTCCTTATTCGCGGTTTCTCTCCTCCTCCACCCCCTTTTTCCCTCACCTCCCCTCAGCACTCATGTACGCGAGCATCTTTGGCAACGTTTCGGCCATCATCCAGCGGCTGTACTCGGGCACTGCCCGGTACCACACACAGCTGCTTCGTGTCAAGGAGTTCATCCGCTTCCATCAGATCCCGAACCCACTGAGGCAGCGCCTCGAGGAGTACTTTCAGCACGCCTGGACCTACACAAACGGCATCGACATGAACATGGTGCTTAAGGTGAGTGCCTACTCCACTCTTCCCTCTCTCATTGTTCAGAGGTGCATTCTAGATAGCTAGGTAAACCAAAACCAAACTGTCACTGATAAAAGTACGTCACGCAAAAGGAAATTGCTGCCTCCAAGTAAAAGCCGAAAAGGGTGATGCTTCCAGCAAACGACTTGGTCTAGATCGGTTGAAAATAAAAACCTTTGTGTATGGTCTACTATGTAAAGCACTTGTTCATTGTAGGCTTTAGCTGAGCGTGTCTGCGCTCTCAACTTTCAATACCGTACTGACCTATATCATGTCTTCTGGATGGTGTATTTTGAATGACGCCACCGAGGTATCATGTCACCAGCCCCTAAGATTGCGCCATCGGCAATACGTGGAAATGTCTACTTTGCCCGGTTGCCGCAGGGTGGCATCACGACGCAGAGCGAAGCAATAAAGGTTTACTTTGGTACTGGTAAGAAGAGTTCCTCATAGCCTCATCTCAGTAGCGGGACAGGAACACTCGAAGCTCTGCTCAGTAGATATGGTTGAGGTCAGTGGTTCACTACTTGGTTACACACTGAGAAGACTTAAAACGAGCGGGGTTACGTATTTTCGGGACCCCTGAGTCGACTTGAGATCGATATTAATCGTTTTATATGTTTAGTGTAATGAATCGAGGAGCACGTCGTAAACTTTTATAATCAGTTCGTGCACTTACCGATCCGAAATTTTCATTGTGGGCATGTTTATTAGTAGATATTGCTTCGTTAAACTTCCAGGTGTAGCTCCGTTCCTGCTAAAAATGAGAGCATCATTCTTGACAGTTTCAACGGCGATCGCCGTCGCGCAAGTCACCCGAGAGTCTCCTTGAGGCGTCATCTCCTTATAGGCACAGCGAGCACTCGGGCGAAACAGGTGACCTATAGTGATTGCTTTTTGAGCGTCGAGTGCTTTCTGAGCCTACTGGTAGATGGCGCCACGAAATTCATTCTGGGACGTCTCGGTCTTCTGCTTCGGCGATCGCCGTTTGAAGTGTCAAGGGTGTTGGTTCTCGTTGTTCGCAGCAACGAAGCTATGCCTTGAAATATAACGAGATCAAATCCACCGCAAAAACACAAGTTTGATGAAAATTTCAGCGAGTTACGTGTAGGAGCAAAGTTTTCCGGCTCAGTTTACAGAAACTGCCGCAAAATATAACATCTTCTATTGTAAAGTTTGTAGTCGCAAAGCACTATCGCACTGTGTAGTTGATGGCAAGGTCGGAACGGCAGGGATGAGCTTCAGCTGTCCCTCCTCCGGCACGAGCTTCTTATTTTCGACAACGCGGCGTCTCGTGCCGTAGCCTCCTATATACTGACAAAGCCTGGCAGATCTCCACGAGAAGCGGCCACCGAAATGGAAAAGGGGCAGCGGCAGATAACGGATGAGAGGAGAACCACGTGACTGGCACCCCGCTGCGGCGAGACGCCGAAAGACACTTCTCCCGAGCGAACAAGTGTGCTTCGGGTCCTTGCCGCTGCAAAAGCTGTGCGCTGAAGTCCAGGTTCCTCGAGAAAAGGCTCTTTGATGTTCTGTGCTACCAGATCCTCGCGCTGTAAATCTGTGACCGGGCACTCTATGGCTCCGTTGTCGAACTGCCAGGTTTGTTTGAGTAAAGAGAAGGCTACGCTGGCAGCCGAGCCTTCGAAAGTTACGGCCTGTCGTTCCCACCGTGTCAGTGACTATAGCTGCTGGTTTCTCGGCGCAGGGCTTTCCAGAGTGTCTGCAGGCGGACATTTGCTTGCACCTAAACCGCAACCTCCTGAACAACTGCCCCGCGTTCCGGGGCGCCAGCCCGGGATGTCTGCGGGCGCTCTCTATGAGATTCAAGACGACGCACGCGCCGCCGGGGGACACCCTCGTTCACCGCGGCGACGTCATCACGGGCCTCTACTTCATCTCCAGGGGCACTATCGAGATCCTCAAGGACGACATCGTCATGGCCATCTTGGGTACGTGCATCTTGGGCCGTAGCATGTTGGGTGTGCAAATGGGAGTGGTTTAAATGTTTCTAGACTGGGTGGAGCTAACAACCGCCTAAATCAAAAGGTATATCCTCATTCGTTCGTCCACCCATTCATTTATAGTAGATATCGCGCTAATTAAAGGGATTATCACCGTTTCTTACATCTCTTCAAAAAATTGGACCAAGTTCAGTACGAAAACCCGTCACTGAGGTGAAAGAAGATAACATTCTGCGCGTAGCTGATTTACTTAACGAACGCAGGATAAAAGTTGTTAACAACAAAGAAACCTACCAGCACCATGGAAACAAGGACACACAGTTGCACCTAATAAAAATATACTTTCCATAGCGAAGCAGGTGGCACATCTTATTGAAAATTACGAACCTAAGCCATTAAGAGCCACCCAACAAATACACTTCCATTATGTCTGACTTTCCCTTTTACTCCCCTCAGTAATGGGTTTTCATCTTGGCTTTTTGGCCACTCGTCTGCATTGTCTCGTTAAACGTCCTTAAAGAGGTCAGTAGAATTTTCCATCACAAATATACGACTCCTACCCGGAGTTGAAGATGGCACTGCGTCATAGCGTTGTGATCATCTGATTCTGTCGATGGTAACACGAATACCAGTAAACTTACGTCAGCTCACCTGCGAACTTGATTCACGCAGCTTCCTGTCAGTTACTTTAATCCTCTCGATGACGGCAGTGCAGTGCACCTATAACGATAATGAGAAAACCCGAAACTACAATCGTTATAGCAGATTATTGTTGTGTGTGGACTGGATACCCCACGCAAAAATGTATGGCCCTCTTGAAACTGATCATTATAAGCGGCACATCGTTATATGGGGACCGTTATAAGTCGATTGCGCTTATGCTGATATGGTTAGAGAAGGGAGTGCGCAGGCCTTGTTTCTACAGTCACTAACTGGTTGAGAACGGCAGGGCGTTTCCTTTGAATGTCCGGCCTGTAGGTAGCACGCGCTGGTTGAATTTCGCCGTGCTTTGTGTGCGCGTGCACATTCGAAGCTCGCGGGACGCCAAAGTGCCATCGATGGTGACAAGCTCGCGCTGTGGGAATAACAACTGAAAAATCTCCCCTGCCCCGCTGGCTTTTGCATTGACGAATGACGACTTACGCGACCAAGTGCATAGCTGCGTTTGGCCTTTCATGATAGGCCAAATGCTCACTATGACGTCATGAATAGGATGAATTCGACTCTTTCATTAACGGGAATAATAAGAATGCCAGGCTGTCAACTTTGACGGCGTTGATTGAAAACGCAGTGACCACAAACTTCTACCTTTTTTTTTTTTTTTTTTTTTTTTTTTTTTATACTCTGCGACGAAGCTTGATTGGGCGTCGAAAGATCGCTTAATGTCCGGCTCCGTTGAGGCGTAGTCATTTTCCTTTTTCTTTTTTTTTTTTTTGCTTTTTCTCTATCCTTTTTTTCTTTCCTTTACTGGCGTTCACGCGAATGCGTCACAGGCCGCCGCCAGAAAAGGCGTCGACCCGGCCTAAACAACACGCAAAAAAAACTGGCGTTACGAGGACAGTTCCAGTACACACAAAACCCAATAGTCCCACACGATAATTGCAGGTCCTGTACAAGTATAAAACATTGTTCTATTGAGCAGTTTCAGAAAATTTTGCAGCAGGCTCTATATACGGTTTCAGATTATTTACTTGCACAACGTACCGCCCTGAGCACTCACCGAACCTTATTTCGTAGTTCAACGCCGATAGCTTGTCCACAACTCGATGAGGCCCAGTGTACACTGTACACATCGCGACACTGTTCGCGCGAACACGACATCGGCGCCTTTTCGCATTTTATTAGGAAAGAGTATTAGTGGGCACACAATTTTACCCCTTATATTAGAGCCCTAAACGAGCTCTTTTTTTAACAATGATATCTTTGATGACAACCTGTCGGTTCTAATAGAAAAACTCAGACAGCTGGCGATCGCTTGAACGCGCTAACAGTGTCGCGCTCTGTACGTTTCTTAAGCCCCACGGGCGGGGACCTCAACAACACCAACTGGTTTCGTTCTTAGGTAATGTAAGTTCGGTGATCCTCAAATAATCTTTTTTGTTTCTCCTGAGCAAACTTGATGTGTCGTGCAGCCAATCTACGCGCTTCGTCCATGCGCTCGCGCACGAGCACTACGTATTCAGAGCTTGCTTGCAGTTCTTGTAGCTCCTTTCTGTTATATATTACATCCAAGAGGAAAGCAGGGTTACATCCGTACAGAAGGAACGAAGGTGAAGTACGAACTGTATCCTGATATCCCGTGTTATAGCAGAACACTACATACGCTGAAACACTACATCTGTTTCAGCGTTTTGTTGACTCGTTCGACGAGGCCGTTGGCAGTTGAGCGATGAGTTCTAGTCGTTGCGTGACGTATACCACGGTTCTTGAGGTAGTCGGAAGTCGATCAGGCAGTCATTTGTGTGCCCCGGTCCGTAGTTAGTACCGTCGGGCATCCGTGCTTGAGTATAATTCTCCTCTCGATGAACTTCTGCTCCGTGGAAGCCTCAATGTTACGAACAGCGTTCGCCTCAACAAACTTGGTTACGTACTTAATTTATAGCAACTATGAGAAACTTCTACCTTCGTGAAACCTGAAAGGGCCCAGTTATGTCGAGTCCAACTGTATGGAAGGGCACACCGACTTCAATTGGCTGCAGCAGTCCGTAAGGGCTCATCGTAGTCATCGTCATTTGTTGACAGAGGTCACAGCTTTCCTCGAGCCGTTGGACATCTAGATGCAGTCAAGGCCAGAAATATTTACTGTGGATCTTCTCGTATGGGCGTTGAATTCCCGTGTGTGCTCAGGATCGACTTCCATGAAATTCGTGAAGCACCTCCGCTCGCTTTGTCGCCGGCAAATATAAAGCAAATCGTTAATTTGTTGGTCCTGCATTCCTTTTGTACACTACATCATGAAAAAGTACAAATTGTTTACTTGCTTTATTCTGCTGTTTCTTTGTACCAGCCTTTTTCTATGGTACTTTTATGACTTTTGCACAGAACGAGTCCTCATTTTGCTCGGAGCTTAAATCGGGCTTTGTTATTTCAAGCAGATCGCAGGTGCGGGTCCAATCGATCTCTCCCAAGCTGTTGGTACTTGAAGGTTCCCCTGAGCAGAAGCGGCTTGGAATACAGGATAGAGAGTCGGGGGCAGTGTGCCATGCGCCAGACTTGTATACAACTTGAAGTCGAACTCCTGTAGCTAGAGAGACCACCTGAGTAAGCGTTGGTGTCCCTCTTTGTAAAAAAATGAATCCAGCAGAGCGCATGGTGGTCTGCAACAACATAAAACTTTCCGCCCATTAGGTAGGGACGTAGTTGTTCCACGGACCACTTAACAGCAGGGTCCTAAAGTTCAGTGGATGTGTAGTCCTTTTCAGCTCCGCGAAGAGAACGGTTGAGGTATATAAGAGGGTCTGTAATTTCCTGTTTCATCTTCCTGGAGGAAGATGGCGCCGAGGCCGGTTCTAGAGGCATCAGTATGGACCTGAAGGCCGTATTTAAGGTCTTCCAAGAAGTGCTTCAAGACAGGAGGTCCACACAAAGCAGATTTCAGTTTATGGAAGGCGTTTTCTCGTGGAGCACCTTATGTGAAGGCTGCATATTGTTTCAGACGCTTTCTCAAAGGTGCTGCGACGGCACTATGTTCCCAAGTGAACTTTCAGAAATAGGACGTCAGCCCCAAAAAACGATTGAACTTCAGCCGCAGTTCTAGAAACGGGGAATCGCATTACAGCATCACCTTTCTCCGGATCAGGTGCAATACCTTTTTTTGGGGATACAATATGTTCAAGGTAAGTCACTCTGGTGCCAAACAATTGGAACTTCTGTGGTTTGAACTGGAGATTTGCTGCCTCGAAGCGCTCAAAAATATCTCCCAGTTGTCGAAGGTGCTCTCTTGAAACATTGTGCTGTAAACGATACAGTCGTTCATCCGTTCATCGTCCAGTGAGTTACGATACCTATATCTCCGATAATAGCATCTACAGTTCGGTGACAAGTTGTTGGTGCTCCTTTCAACCGAAACTGCATTCTCAAAAATTCATACAGCCTCCAATGCACAACAGAGGCCGTCTTAGCAGCGTTACCAGATTCCATTTCTATTTGGTAGAATCCTGAAAGGAGGTCCAATGTTGAGAAGTACTTGTTCTCACCTAATGCCGCCAGAGCATCATCGATTCTTGGTAGTAGGTAGATGACGTTTTTATTTGCAGCATTTAGTTTCCTATAGGCCACCTACATTCTTGTCCACTTGTCCTTTTTCTAAACTAAAACCCATGGAAATGCCCAGAAGCTTTTGGATGGCTGGATAATTTTTGCGTCCGTAATGTATTTTATTATTGCCTTGACAAAATCTCTTTGAGCCGGTGAAATTCACCTAGGGTACTGTGCAATTGGTCTTGCATCACCACTCGAAATGGAATGCTTCTCATTCCTACAAGACGCCAGGTGTTCAGTGTCGGTTGCAAACTTAGAACGATATTTCATCAACATTTGGGTTACTGCCTCCAACTCTCCGTGGTTCAGTGTTGCTTTCACGTTAAAGCTGCAACTCATCAACCATTTTCTGCTGCGTTTCGTTGCGGACTATTGGCACATCCTCCCGGTTCTCAAGATCCGAAAAACTGTAACACTGCAGGACTGACTCCCATTCGATAGGAGACAAATCAATCGCTTCAACAAGTTCTACTTTCTCTGAAGATCCAAAAGGCGCCCTCGCAGGTATTTTGGATGGCTTCAAAGAAACGTTTGTAGCCAAAAGTTTGAAAGTATCTGTTCTTGCGTCGATGACTGTCGGTTGCAGTTCCAAGCGGCATCGTTCAATAGCTGACCGAGAACCTGTTACGTAGAAGATATCACGACGTGTCTCGCTAGTTCGGGCCTCCAACATGACTTCGATCACCTTCCGTGATAGAAGCGGTACTTCTTAGGTTGTCGTCGTGTAATCCTTGAGTGGTTTTTCCGCTATGATTGAAAACTTGTTTGTACCCCAGTGGATAAATCCTTTTGATGGGCGTAAAAAGTCATCTCTTAGCGAGACTAGGTCTTCTTTTAACTGTGGGACTACTACGAACGTTTGTTGGGATGACCTTCCGTCCACCGTAATTTCGCTACTGACTTCTCCATTCTTTTCAAGCGGCCGCCCATTTGCTCCCACAAGTTTTAGGAAAGTTTTTGAAGGTGCTTTCTGAGGTCTTCGGCAAACGCCTTCGTTCATAAGACTTCCGGTGAAACCAGAATTGCACTGAGCCCAACGGATCCCATAAAGACTGAGACCCGCTTGACGCCCGCAGAAGATTCACAGCTAACGCGCTGCACTACTGGTGTCTCCTTGCAGGCCCTGAAGACACCAGGTCGGAGTTTTCCAGGTCAGTAGGAACGCCAGACTCCACTTGAAAGGCGCGCTGCCATTCAAGGAATTCTTGCGTGAGGGGCTGGGGCACCATGTAACAAAATGACCTTCCTGTTTGCAATTTAGGCGAAGCTTGTGTACTTTTCTACGGGATCCTTGAGCTTTGGTCTGGGCTGTGTCGTTCTGGCGACGGAATGGCCCTTGGTTGGTCAGGCTTGGCTGTGGTGTGTCATTTGCACTGCGCGCTGCAGCGTATTCCTGACGTTTTCCTTTGGGCTGCTGTAGCCGATCGAGTTTGACGAAAGTGCACAGCTCATCGGCCACATCTTAGTGGAAGTTCAAAGCTTTTAATGACTTTTCTTCGGGCTTCCTGGCCTTTCCGCTTTGCGTCATCAAGCTTTATAAAGGAATCAAGCACGTTATCAAGCGATGCGAAGCTTCTATTGAAATACATCCGCTTTGCCTTGTCATTCTGCGATTCAAGAAGCAATTCGCACCTCTCGGCTTCGCTTCCTGTGAATACACATTCTTCTATTCGTCGCAGCATCTGAATAGTGTACTCCATGCACGTTTCTGTGGAAGTCTGTCTTCGAGCGAACATTGCAAGTTGATTTTCCACAGGGCTTTCTAAATTATAGTGCCGCCGAAACGCGGACTTCATGTCCTTCCAAATGCTCATCTTCTTGGAGTAAACTCAAAGTTCATCCAAGCGAACTCCATAGAAAGTAGTTTTGATATGAGCAGCGGCGGTGCGATATCTTCCGGCACCCCGTAAATTTTCAGCCAAAATTCGACCTGATGGAGCCAACCAATTACGTCAGGGGAGAGGAGGGGAGCTGCACTTACGGCCACCGTTGATGGCTCAACTCTATGGTTGATTGTATCTCCCAGGCCTTTCCCCTGACTTTGTTGGTTCGAGCCCTTGTCTCTGCTTTCAGATGTGCTGCATGAGTTTGGGGCGCTCTCTTGTAGTTCAGTATGCAGCGACCGATGCTGCCCTTTTTTTCTCTTAGATGTTTTATTTTGTTCCCCTTGCTGGTTGGAGCCCTCTTCGCTGCTGTCAGGGTTGACTCTCGAACACGCGGCTTCGAAGCAGTGGAGCCTCTCAATTACTGGGAACAGAAATCCGCGCACCATGGTCCCCACGGCTTCCAGGGAAGCGCTATCCTCCGCAGCACTTGCGGAGAAGAGAGGCGTCGATACGGGTACAGTCTGTTGTCGGCTAAGAATCTCTGTGATGCGTTGCCTCAGTTGAGTGATTCTTTCGTCGATTTTCGAGTGGGTCCGCTGAAGTTCTTCGCTCCGAGCAACTGCCGCCTCAAATTTAGCTTACAACAACGGGCCAATGCCGCTCTCTTCGCCGTCTTCGTCCATCGTTGTTAACTCTGTAGTCAAGCCTTCTCGTTGATGCGAAGAGCTTAATCGGCGATTTGATAATGACCGCCATCCCCTTACAAATTTACCTCATTACGGACTCTCCGTTCGGGCGCCAAGTGCAATGAAGCTTAGTTGTTTTTAAATTATATTTAATGTCTGGCTCTGTTGAGGTGTAGTGACCTTTTTTTTTTTTCCTTTTTTTATATCGGTCTACTTTATTTCTTTTCAATGGCTTTACGCGTCCCTGTCACAGACTTTATTGAAATCGTCGCTGGCAATCGATGATCCTAGCTGTGACATCACAGATAGGAACGATAAGAGGGGTCCACCGAAACTTCTCGTCGCCAATATTAACGAGGTTAGATGCGAAAAAGCGCAAACCTTCTGTATGGTACTGGTCCTACACTAACCCTCGTTACATGGCCACCCTTTGCCGCAGTTAAGTGTGACCGAGGTCAAACTCAACTGCGGTTAAGGGTGCCCGGGTGACTAGGGTGTAGTTGGCAGTAACTGCTAAGCATACTTAACCGTAACTGCAGTTCAGGACCCTAAACCGCTGTTAAGCCTGACTTTAGTCACACTTAACTGCGGTTGAGGGTGTCGGTGTAACGGAGGTGTAACTTGCCGTCTTTATGTTAGCGGAAGTCTTCACCGGCGCCGAGTCTGACAGACGGGCGCCTTCGTTCCGTCGACGATGACGCAGGCAAGGACGACATCTTCGGCGAGAACGGCTGCCTGTACGGGACCGTGGGCAAGTCGTCGTGCAACGTGCGCGCGCTCACGTACTGCGACCTGCACAAGATCCTGCGTGAGGACCTGCTGGACGTGCTGGACATGTACCCGGAGTTCCACGACCAGTTCTCGTCCAACCTGGAGATAACGTTCAACCTCAGGGACGACGACCAACACGGCGTCGACCCGGACCTCTTCAGGACCAAGCTCCTCCACAACAGGCCCGTCAGCTCCCCCGAAGAAGGTGCGTGAACCGTAAAGGAAATATATCTTTTTTTTTTTCTTCAAAACGATGCACCATCTCCAGGGTGTTCAGCTCAAGCGTAATTTGGGCGTAAAAAAATTACTATAAATAAATTAACAATCGAAGTGTATTAAAACTTATTTACAAAGGTGTCTCTATGATGGGCATTTTTATACTCAAATTTTGTAAGTGTATCAGGAAACAAATATGAGGCCTAAAAAAAATCCAGTTTTTTTCTTCTTTTTATTTTATACTCACAGAACAAAAGGGTAAAAATCTTCTGGTTGACTCTGGTGACCACAGATGGCACAACATAAAGCAAAAAGTGAGAGCTTTTTTGAGATGAATACCAGAAAGCAGATTCAGCAGATCGGAGTGTGTACTCTCTGGGAGTAACTGCGTCAACCAAAAGGTCCTTTTAAAAAAAAAAAAAAAAAAAAAAAGATTCAATTTTTTTTTATTTACATTTATAAAATGTGAGAATGACAAATGCACTACCTAACGACATATTTGTGGTAAGTTCCAAGGGGCACTCCGTCCATTGGTTTATTTACACGAATATTCTGACGCCCGAATATCGCTCGAGGACACCATACCTTGCATACGCCGTTTCGCTCATGGCTGGATATCAGCGACGGCTAGGTGCTCCAACTCACAGCTTTGACAGTTGCCCCTGCTGGGTGAGGGTTTGTGCAACCGAGGTGAGTCCTTGTGCCTGGCAGCTTGATCGCTGGCGTTTTTCTGCGGCATGCCGCCTTAAGGCCCGTCCAAACAGGATACTTCAGAAATCGTGAGGCGGCACGACTCCAACATTAGTCGCGCGGCGGTCCCCTTCCTTCCGTCCTTTTTGGCCGGGGGGAATGTTCCCTCCGTCGAATGTCGCCCGTGTCCTCCATGGGGGCCTTGAGCATGCTCATCACGTGGGCCCGGAGAGCCGCTCACAAGCTCTGTCTGCTGTCGGTCAATCGCTCAAGGCCTCCGCTGCTCTTCAGGTCTTCAAAGAAAAGGGAAGGGCTGTGTTCGAATAGAGCCGATCTACTCCGGCGGGTCATGTCACGTGATAACACTGATAGAGCGTCGCTGGACGCGGGTAGGTTTCAAACGCAAAGGTACAAAACCCTTACCCTAAAGTAAGATCGAGTGAATATTAAATTACGGCCCAGGATACGAGGGCCCGGCAGAACAGATGAACAGGATTGAAGGGTGGCGTGTGACGTCAAGAGCGACGAGCACCGAAGTCACCGAAAAGCTGAGGAGGTGAGGAGGAGTATGGTAATGTTTGCTTGGTGTTCAAACAGACATTGGACTGCTGGACGCTTCAACTTTCACGATTTTTGACGGAGTCGTGCCGTCCCACGATTTCTGAAGTGCCGTGTTTGGACAGGCCTTTACCAGGAGATGCGTAGAAACAGTTATCCATCTGAGATTTCTGAGTCCATCGCTAGAGGCGAGGCTTCGCAGACACCTTCAGGGCAAATGTATATGCTCCGGTTGCGGAGCGGAGTATAGCAATAATACTTCCAGGGCGGCCATGTTAGATCCAAGCCGCACTGCGGGAAGCGACCGTCGCTTCTGCAGAAGAACAGGAGGCGCGGATGGCGTGGCTGTGAGGTGGCGCGCTGCGGCGCGCGGAGCAGACTAAATATAGTACGGTGACACGCCGTGCGTGCGCCATCGTCCCGTCATTTGTCGGCTGTTTTCCTATATGCCCACAGTAGCACGTAGTAGCCGACGAAAACGTCCTCCCTTTGCAACCTGTAGCTGCTCGTTACTGTCTGGTTCAAGGCACCCGGGTGTGCTGGTCGCGTATCACTCCGCGAGCGCCGCAGACACGCAACTGCGGCGCTCGCAGACATGCAGGCGATTGTCATATGTGTCGTCTGCTTCCCAAACTTTGAAAACATGTCTTAAAACGTCGCTCGCATTATAAAACAACACGATTATACTGTACTTAGTGACTGAACATACTGTTTGATTGTCAAGGAACCTTCCGGTTTGTTAGATTTTAGTGTAGGATGTATATTTCGCAAACGCTAAGCGAGAAACGTGCTGCGTACGAAACTCGGCGCCTGCAAGGTCGCTCTCCCTCATAAAGTTTGGATACAGCTCGGCGCACGTGACCGCTTCTGCGCCAATACGAAGTTGGCGGCGCAAGGAGAAGGAACGCGATACTTGGCTCTGCAAGCAGAGCCTGTACAGTTACTCCAGACAGGGGCAATGTTTTTGCGTTACTCGAGGCTCGCGCCGCCCCTGCTCGTTTACTGCCAGCTACCCTGGCTACGTTCTACTAGAATAGGGAGGTGTGCCGTCTGGCGGCCTTGAGAGCATGGCCTCCGACATCCCGAAGTGCTTGGAGGCCATGGTGTAATTCCGCTAACCCCGTCGCTCGCCACGAGGTGGCGACGTCCTCCTAGTCAGCACAGAGCGACGAGCCGTCACGGTCGCAGGCATCGCGGGTGGATCGTGGGGGGGGGGGGGGGGGGGCGGGGCGGCGGCGGCGAATAGGGATACCAGATGAAATGAAACAACGGTACGCTCATTTGCAACGTGAAAGACGCACGGAGAAGCGGCTTGCGTGTTGCCATGGCATCGCTACATCACTATCTACGCCACCTCCCATGGGCTTCTTTGTTCTGCGGCGAGAAATGGCGAGCCCTTAACCGCGATTGCATTGGCGGCGCCCGGCGGCGCGCCGCTGAAGACGAAAACTGGTTTTGGCCGTCAGCCCGGGGCGGTCAGCGGCGCGAGGCAAGCCTCCGCAACGCAAGTGTGGTCGGGCATTAATAGACAGTTTTAGTATAGCGTTGCTGGCTCTTACGTACGCAATACGCAATAGTATAGCGTACGCTAAAAACGACCCGCTCGGACCGATTTTAGTTGTGCGTTACGTTTCCGAGTGAACACCTCGCATGACCTTGGTTAAATTTGCCAGAGTCGCAGAATTCCGCGTGCTTATAGCGCCATCATGCTTCTGAAAATGAATATCGCAAATGAAAAGTGTCCAATCATTTTATTCAAAGTCAAACCAAGCCGCAGCTGCCTCGTCCAGCGCGCTTTTCTGCGGAGTACAGAGGCTACGAGTACGGGTGCATAGCCAAATTCAATCACGGAGCCTCCGTCACTAGTCCCGTGGAAATGCCACCTTTCACCAATGCTATCGCGGAATGAAATCCGTGACCTACTGAAGTCCAGTGCATAGCGAGAACTTCGGCGATTTCTTGAAGAGTCGTTCGTTCGTCGACGATGAGCTGAGGGAATAGGGGGCATTCACTGGACGCCATATTTGAGGGTGCTGTTGAGAGCGCATGCTCAGAGCGAGCTCACATTAATAGGCTGCTAAGACCGGCAATCTTGACGGTGCGGAATGCACGTTACAAAATAACTGTGGAAGCTTGTCATCTGCACGCGCTCAGCATTTGCGCACACGGCTATGGCCGCCAGTGAATACTCCCTCTAGGCCTAGCGTCAAGCAGATCGCAGCGTTGACGCACGATTCGAGCGGTGAGCACTTTCACTGTGCACTCTTTCAGCTGCATGGCGATCTGATTCGACCGCGGTACGTCCCGGAAAGAAGTGCCGCGCTGAACACCACGTTATTTCACCGTTCGCGTAACACAGAACGTAGAGAACACCACGACGCCCTTGCTGCGCCAGTCAAGGTAACCGCCATCTTGAAACTGGCGCTGTCGTTGGGCCCGAGATCTCTCGAGAGCTTCCCTCAAGGACCGCTAGCCCGCAACGCAACATCTCCAGCGTTGCGTGCGTACGCAATACGCTAGCCCTTCTACTGCGTTCTGAGCATGCGCACTCACGACCCGCAATTTCCTTGCGTACGCAAAGCTATAGCGTACGGTCTGCTAAAACTGTCTAATGCTTTCAGTACAATGGCGTTCCATGGTGATCTTGGCACGGCTGGTTTCAATCGACCCTTTCGAAGCTTCGAAGATATGAAAGGATCGAAATGGTGATTGCCACGGCCACGGAGACCGATCGATCAGCCGATCGCCTTGCGAGGTGTTGGTCGTTTGTATATATGTTGGTACTCGTTTGTGCTCTGGTAGCAGGCAGGGAAGGCAATAGCGCTACTTTGCTAGGATCCCTGGCCGCTGGTCAGTGCCACCAGGCTCCACACCACTCACAGCAGCCGCTTTGTGAACTTGGCTTTCCTCATTAGAGAGACCCACCCGGCATTCCGTCCCCGGCGGACCGGAAACGCGAATCGAGCAGCCGCGCCTTGTGTGAGGATGCCACGCTCGCAACCTCGACCGTGATACGTTTTGAGATTAAACGGAGTACAGCAGGTTCTGCGCAGATTTTGGTGGGGCGCCATACTAGAGGCTTGCACTCCGAGTATGTTTAGGATACGGGAGTTGCGTGAGCGCTCTGGATAATACTTAGGTCCAATCATACGTTAACGCTGGAAGCGATTCCCAAAACATGGCGACCGTCTGTGTCGCTGGATGGAGTTTTGTCTACTAGCAGTGGTGGCGGTAACGCGTTACAGGTAGCGGTGTTACCGGTAACGCATTAGTTGTTGTTTTATGTCTAATACACTCATTACATTTTCAAAACTGTCACGTAACGTACTTACGTCACTTATTCCGAGCGCAGAGTAGCGTAGTTACGTTAGGTTTTACATATTCTTCCCAGGACGTAAATTAAAAAAAATACTAAAATGTTTTCGTCTTTCTAGGCACCAAGGTTTCTAAATCTTGGTGGTTGTTCTTGTTGTTGTTTGCGTTTTTCTTTGCGAGTATTTAGGTGGAACCCTAAAAAAAGATACGGTAATATTGTTAAATTTCTGGATAGACATAATGGTTCTTGAAATCATGAGCTGATTCATACCTGCAACGTCAAAACAGTAAAACGTGTAAATTTAAAATTCAAAAAGTAATGCAAGAAGTAACGTGCGTTACTTTTTATCTGTAAGGCCCGGGTAACGGTATCACGTTCTTTTCATTTTGTGGTAACCTAAGACGATAACGCGTTTCTTTTATTTG